TCTTTTCACTCATCACTCTAGCAACTTCTAGACAGGACTGAACAGGTTCTAACCCTAACAGGAGGGAGGGTGAAGGTTGTGGCTTCACTCTCTCAAGGTCGCACAGCTGCTGCGCAGTGCGGCTTGTTTACAAAAGAAAATCAGTCCCGGTCATATTTGAACCACCTAGTATATTAGTTCCCTTTATTTCCTCCCTGGCTATTTTTGGCAGAATATTAATGCACAGTATAGAAGAACACATCTTCATGTAAATGAAAGCAGATGTAAATATGAATATAAAAGTGTTTTTATCCATCAGTTGAATGCTGATATTTTACAGTACCTGCTGTGTCCATATACATTCATTCTCTCTGTCTCACACACACATGCACATGCACACTCATGCATGAAAGCAAGTGTGTGTACGTGTGTGTATGCGAGAGAGAGAGATCTATGTCTGTGTGTTGTAAGTGTTTTCTCTTGGTGCCCAGATTACCATCAGTGTTGTCTTCAAAAAAGGTCTTAGGTGGTATGTTTATATATATGGCCCTGGAGTTGACTCAGCCTCTAATAGAAATGTGTACCAGGAGTCTTTCTGGGGTGTAAAGGGTGTCCGGCACATAAGGCTGATAACTTTACCACCGTCTGTGAGCCAGTTGTTTAGAGATAATGTGGGAGCCTCAGCATCTTACAACCCTATGGACTTTCATGGCCTGATACAGGGATAGCTTTACCTTTTACCTTATATATATATATTGTAACGTGTTTTGGTTACTGAAGACGCCGTAGAGATCGTTAATTGGTTTATTGAACAATCTACAAGTAACGGCTACAATTACTTATCACACAGTTGCGGGGTTTCACACTTTATAACCCTAATCGCATTAATCTGTTACCACTGTTGCGGGGTTTCACGATTTATAATCCTATGCGCAAATCAGCTCAATCTATCTTCAGTAGTCTACACGTTTACAGTAGGGGAGCTATGTATCACTGTATCACACACTCCCAATTACACAATCACACACACGTCCGGTTCTTCTTTCCGCGATGGCTGCTATACTCCAACAGTAGTCGGCTGACTGGAGAACTGTTGATAACACACTCGGCGACTATCACTTTATAACTCTCCTCGGCGACTGTTACTTTACAACTCGGTGGCGGTCACCGTACAACTCGACTCGGCGACTGCTGTGCAGTTCCCTAATATAGTTGCAGTGGTGCCTGTTGCGTTCCACGTCACAGTAGGAAGTTGATTACGGGTACGTAGCGTTGCGCATTACGTCACCGCGGAGGGGTGGGAGGGAGCGTTATGTTACCGCCACGCGCCTGTGGCCAGAGTTGCCACGTTGCTGCTGGGTAGGGAAGGGTTCTCCGTTGTGCAACATGTTACACTGCTCCCTCCTTAAGGCTGTTCGTCCCGAATAGCCTAACGGTTCACCCCCGTTCCTTTTCCGTCCTGTAGCTGTGCTTGCAGTGTCTCCTGTTGTTTCGGCTACTCTTCTTGCAGCGACTATTCTTTGTCCGTTACATCCGCTCCCCTCTTAAGACAAAGCTTGTCTCGAGCGGTTTCCTTTCAGGTCACCAGAAGATCCAGTTGTGTCCCATTCATCCATTACTTCCATTCTATGGCACACTCACTCTCTCTGGGGAGGCCGGTTCTTCTACATTACCGGTTCCTCCTCTGCTTGAAGTCTTTTCCGTTTTGGAGGCGGTCGACACTTCCACAGTGTCCAATCTTTGTTTATGTCTTTCATCGGAAATGTCTTACATCGACGTAGCAGTTCTTGATGCGTTGTTTGCACTCGCTGACGTCGTCGTTCCTTCCGGACTTCCAGCCACTGGCTGATACGAGACCGTGGCTCCAAGTCCTTTCTCCGGTATCCGAAGGTTCCCTGGGGAGTTTCCTTCTTGAAGTCATTTCTCCAACATCGTGCCACTGTCGTGCGACGGGATATCTTCCTGCAGATGGCAGCCAACTTTATCCGGGACGCATGATCTCCTCGGATCCACGATTTTCTGACGATGTTCCTCCGGCGCCATGACACTCTTGCATGGCGGGACACCTTCCTGCTGACGACGGCCAATTTATTCTGGGGTCCGCAATTTTCCCGTGTCGGGTTCTCCATAATTCGTAGCTTTCGGTCCCTACGCCTTTTCTTCTTCGGTTCTCCGACCGGCATTACTTCGGCGTCTTCTGTGGGTACCTCTCGTAACTCTGCCGCCTCAGGTTTCCTGTGCACTGAAGCCGGCTTTTCATCTTCTGGACGTGCCTCCATTTCTTGGTAGGCCATCGTCCCTCCGCCCGGTATCACTATGGGGACCTCTTCTTGTTGTGCCATCGCAGGTTTCGTGTCCACTGGGCAGGCCAACGTCTCTTCCTGCCAGGCATTGAAGTCGGTGTCTAATTTCGTCAGCATGCTATCTGCCTTTTCTTGATAGGAGTCTAATTTGGCCAGGAAATCTTCTTGGTCTTTCTTCCTATTTGCCTCCAACTCTTCGTGATGTGTTTTCATGCTGGCCTCCATTCTTGCCAGCATTTCGATTATTCGCTGCATATCTTGTTTCTCCATTTTGCAGCAGTCAAATACTCGATGCACAATAATCCAATTGTTTGTCTAGGCGTGTTTAAGTTCGTAAAAATTCTGACACCAAATTGTCACGTGTCTTGAGATCGAATCTCGTCGGTCACGTGTGTAAGTCCAAATCCCACTTCTGACACCAATGTAACGTGTTTACGTTACAGAAG